GCTCGGCGCTTCATTAGAGCGTTGGGGGGCCGAACGGCGAGGCAGGGCCCGGCAGGGCGCGGCTGGCTGCACAGCCACCGACTCACCGAGAAGAGACACCCAGCAAGACGGCGTAACCCGGCCGCCCCCATTCGGGCCTCCATTTACACAGGCCGCCCTCCGCCGTGCTTGAGCGGCAAGCGCGGCACAGCGCCGGCCAGGTGCTAATCAGCTTGGTGCGCTACCATGTCGCTGCCGAGGCCTGAGGCTCGAAGTCCCGACGAAGCCGCCGACAGGTTCTTTCCGAAGCGCTGCCCCGGACCCCAGCGGCGGCGGCGGCTAGCTCCTGGGAGGCGGGCAGCCGGTCGGCACGCCGGCGGGAGGGTTGCCTACCCGCCAGGGGCTCCGCTCCCTCCGCTCACCGCGCCCTCTCCGACGAACCAGCCAACACAGATCTCGGACATGCGCAACTTTCAGTTGCCCCATCGATCCAATCGTTCAGTTCCCAGAATTTAATTTTCTCCAAAGGGTCCGACCGCACGGCGCACGGCCCGCACGCAGCGTGGACTTGGACAATGCTCCGTCGCTGCGTCTCTCTCGCACCCCAACCAGAGGTCCCGTGAGCGCGATACTAGAGACAGAGCGATGAGGTGCCCTGTTCGGAAGCAGCCTGCGCAGGCACGCGGCGTGGGGGAGGCGGTTCGGGGGCGGGGGCTTGGCGGGGGCTTGGCGGGGGCTTGGCGGGGGTTGGCGGGGGCTTGGGGGCTTGGCGGGGGCTTGGCGGGGGCCGTCAGGAAGGCGGCAGGGCGCGTGGGCGAACCGGCGGACTGGCCGGGCCGGGCCGGGCCAAGTCGCACGGAGGGCCGCGGGCCGCGCCGGGACCGCTGCAGAAAAACGAGTCGCGGACTGCCGAGGCGAGGCGAGCGATTCCGAAGGGCTCTGTCTCTCTCGCACCCCTGCCCCCTGCGAGACGCCCCAACCGCCCAACCGCCCCACGCGTGCGACAGAGACGGCGCGTATTCCCTCGGAATCACTCGGCTGACGCGCTGACGCTACTCCTCGCGGTGTGCCGGGGCCGGCAAAGCGCTCATCCGTGCCAAAACGAGCCTCCAGCAGAGGAGAGGCTCGCTGGCAGAGGTTCACTGCAGGATAGGGCAAGGGCCTCATAACGCAGCAACACGCACGCACGCTCACACGCGCAGGGCGAGCGAAGCGTAATGCGACCATGTGGCCGATGCGCCCTACACTGTCATTATATTGCAGGCCGAGGCTCGCTCGCGCACAGACGGGATGCCCCGTGAGTGCGAGCGAGACGGAGCGACGAAAACGACTCTCAGTCTGCTGCGCTGCGGGCCGCCGTTGGCCGCCGTTCGCAACCTGCACTGCAGTATGTACGTCGAGTACGTCCTGCTCCTGCGCGCGGTGGCGTGGCGGCAGGCCAGGCCACCAGGCCCAGGCCGGCCAGGTGCGGCAGACAGATGTGCGCACCCTTCCACGGATGGGGCCGGGACCGCCGGGACCGCCGGGGCAAGGACCAGGCCGAGCAACGAGCAGGGGCCTACGTGCGATCGGATGCATTCTCATGACGCGTCCGTTTATCAAGGTGTCATCACTCACGTGACGGGGGCCTACTGGGCCCCGACTGGCTGCCTGCGCGGCCAGGCGGCCCGGCCGCCCCGCCACCAGCCAGCCAGCCGCTGGCGGGGAGTGGAGGTCGAGGCGAGCGAGAGCCGAGCAAGGCAGAGCGGCACCTAGCAACAAGCACTCCGTCCTGCCCCTCCCATCCCCTCTTCGGCTCTTCGGCTGCTGCAGCTACCGCCGCTCCTTGCCTGCCTGCCTTGACTGTGCCGTGGTACGGCCCCGCCCCCCATCGCCGCGAACCCCGCATGTCCCGACTCGTCCGTCCCGACCCGCCTCTGCCCCCTCCCCCTCCCCCACCCCGCCGTGCGGGGTGCCGGCCGGTGCCGCCGGGACTATAGAGTTGTCGACGACCCAGGCGATGCCTTTGCCTTTCTCGGCCAGGCCACCGCCAGGCCGCGATGCACCCTGACTGGGTACATTCCCAGACAGAAGCAGGCCGTCGACGCGTCGACACGGCGCCGAGGCCTTCAAGCGGACGGGCCCGTGGACACGGAATGGGCGGGGCTGGCGGCCGGACCGCGATAGCACTCGATAGCCCGCGGCTTGCTGGCTGTCTGGCTTTCCAAGATTCGCGCGCCGCGGACAGGACGGCCTGCCTGCCTGCCTGCTTGGTGCCTCCGAGGCCCGCAGCCCGCACGGCCGTGACCCGCGCGCAACGACCCCGCGGGGACGACGACGCGGAGGTTATCCGCCGAAAATGTCTTTCCAGGCGACCCCTGCCACCCTGCCCTGCCCGGGCCCTGCCTCCCCCTGTGTGGGTCCTGGGTTCGCACAGGCGGCCATGGCGGCGCGGCGTGCCAGGTGGCCTCCGGGCGGACTAGCGCTGCCGAAGCGCGACAACGAGGGGCTGTCAGCCTGGCCAGGGGCAGGGGCTTTGGGGACGGACCCCGACCGCAGCGCTACGGCAGCAGCACCGCCAGGGCACGGCTCAGCAGCCTGGGGGCCTACGGCTGGGCCTACGGCTCGGCCTACGGGAAGGGGCCACGCCGTGCCGACGCGCCCGGCCGCCCGGTCATTGCTCCGTTGTGACAGAGAGGCCAAGAACCCCCGACAATTTATGTCTGTGTGACGGATATTCGTCGCCTTGCTCGTCTTGCGCGCCATGCGCGGCCAGAATACGCGAGGCTTGGCAGGCTGCGTCGCGGTCGTCGCGGTGGCTACGCCGATGCCCGCCCGCAGCGCACGGCGGCACAGCCTGGGCAGCCCCGCGCCCCGCAAAGCCAGACAGTCGTAGACATCCCCCGCCTGCAGCGCCCAGAGGCGCAGACAGGCGGTTCGGGGGTCGCCCCGCCCCGCCCCCGCAACATCCCACCGCGCCAGACAGCCAGACAGGAAGGGTAGGGCCGGAAAGGGCCGCGCCGCCGCGCCGCAGGGCCCCAGGGCAGGGTGTGTCGCCGTCCTTGTCCGGGAAGCTGCACGCCGTGCACGCCACCGGGACACCACGATCAGAGCGTAGCCCAAACCCCCAACGTCGAACCCCTCGGCAGCCTCGGCAGCCCGCGTCACGGCGACGGGGAGAGCGTGTGTGTATTTTGACCGCACTTTCCGCCAGCCGTCTCACAAATAACACGCACACAGACTTAACGTACATGGGCACGGGGGATAAAAAATGCAGACGGAACTGGGCGTCGGCCCGTCGGGTCCCAACCGGATGCCGGAGCACCGCGAGGTGGACGCCAATGAAAGCAGTGAAATGGACTTGCGATTCGGGGATTCGAATCGGATTGGCTTTTGGCGTTTCGTCACTTGGACGCCGCGGAACATGCTGCTGGAGCACAAACACGCAGCCCGCCTCTCCAGGACGGTGCTCTTGGTGCTCTCGTTCGTCGGCACGCCGCCCCCTCCTCGAGACGCTTTTTTCCCCACTTTTTTTGGAGGGGGGAGGGGGAGCCCGGCGATATGAGCGGACTTTTGGAGGACGGAGTTGAGTTAGCGGAGCGCTGCTCGGCACCAGCAGACGGTACGGTTCAACGTGAAATTCAGCTGCAGAGCGGGGCGGGGCGGGGAGGGGAGGGTGGGGTCGGACGGGGAAAGGAGGGGCATCGCGTTCTCTGCAGCCCCGCCCCGCCCCGCGAGTCAGGTCCTGGCTTCGCAATGCTTCGCTATCGAGCGCCCTACTCTTGGTGCGCGGCCTGCGCCCTCGGCCTCCCCTCAGGGCGAAGCGAAGCGAAGGGCCGGAGGGCCAGAGGGCCCATCCCCTGCATCGGCCGCAGGGCCAGGCCCTTGCCCTGCCAGGCCCTGCAAGTGCGCCTCTCTTACGGACGGCCCCCAAGCACCAGGCAAGCCAACCGGCGTCACGCGTGCGGCACACGCCGGGCCGTCAGCTTGCCGTCAGCTCGCCGTCAGCGGGTCGTCAGCTCCGGGTCGTCAGCTCCGGGTCGTCAGCTCGCCGTCAGCGGGCCGTTAGCTCGCCGTCAGCGGACCGTCAGCTCGCCGTCAGCGGGCCATCAGCTCGCCGTCAGCGGACCGTCAGCCGCAGGTCGTCAGCACGGCGTCGGCGGCAGTCAGAGGCAGAGGGCGAAAATTGGTCCTCAGTGGCCTGCCTCTTGCCTCTCGGCCTCGGTCGGCCACCGAGGCTGAGAAAAAGTCCCTGCGGGTCGTCAACTCAAACTCGCGGCAAAGTAGCCAAACTTTGCCGGCAAAAAAAGGGGTGAGGGCGCTTGAGAGGCGGGCGGAGGCGGGCGGAGGCGGGCCGGGGGCGGTGAGGGACGGCAGGCGTACGTGTCTGGGCGGGCCGTACCCTGCCGCACTGCGGCGCAAGGACCTGCAGGACCTGCGACCCACGTGGGCGGAAAATGGCGGCGGGGGCAAAGGGTGCGAGCACTGCGAGCCGAGGGTGCGGCCCAAGGGTGCGACCGGCACGCCACGCCACTATGCGCCGGCAAGCCGGGCGAGCCGCCCCCGCGTTCGCAGGGCCTTCTAGGAGCATTCTAGGAGTACCGGAGGGGAAGGCGGGGCACCGTCCGGACCGTGCAGGCAGGATCCAGGCACGTGGAAGGCGCGTGGCCGGGGCCTGCCGGGGCCTGCCGGTGTGGGCGCGGTGGGCTCGCAGGGGCCTACCGGGTGGGCGCGGGACGCAGGAGGCGCGGGGGGGTGGGAGGCGCGGCGGTCAAGCGGCAGGGATGCGCAGCGCAGTGCGGCACTGCCGCCGCCAACAACGCCATGCCACGCCTGCCACGCCCAGCTGCAGACAGCAGAGGCGACACGGACGAGTGCTGCGCTCTGTGCGCAAAGCTCGGAATCACCTGCGCACGGAAGCCCGTTCGTGGACCCCAAGCGCGCGCGCACACACTCTCACAGGCACGCGCATACATAGGCAGACGTAACACTCGACAAAATGCCATCGAAAAAGAAAAACGGAAACAATCACGATGACTAACCTTGCTGAAGTAGCCCACAGTGTGGCATCCGTCAGAATCGTTGAGAGTCATCACATAGAAGAGGAAAGGTTCCACATCGTAATACAGCGTTTTGTGGTCAAGGAAAAATTTTGCTAGGAGGCACAAGTTTTGACAGTACAACTTGTACCTCTTTCCATCAACTTCCCACACAGACAACTTGTCTTTCCTGGTTATAAATAGAATAAAATTTGTAGATAATCATCAGTTAACTTAAATGTTCAGAGAAAGAGATGTAGACATACCTGTACACTTCTTTTCCAGGCGGATGTCTCCAGACACACTTTACAGCATGTCTCTTCAAAATAGTGGCACTTTTCATATAACGAAGGCAAAATTCACAAAGGTACAGCTTAGGCAAGCGAGCATAATCGTCAGGATAGGGGCTCTGATACCAAACTTCCATTTCATGTTTCCCCATTTCTATGTATTTAGTGCCCTTGGTAAATGGAAGAGTTTTCAAATCTTCCTCCTATAAAGCATTTTTGAAAAATATTAGTTGGCAAGTTAACACCTATCAGTTTAACAAAAGAAAAAAAAGAAAAAAGTCAGTAGAAACTTACCATTTTTTGGCTTGCCATTGCTTGCGCTTCTTGGAACAGTTGGATATCATACATTGGTGCAACACCCTTAAGTTTTGGCTCTCTCTGGCCGGTATCTTCATCATCACCTTCTTCATCTTCACTGCTACTGCTGCTTCCACTGGCACTACCACTATCGCTTCCACTGCTGCTGTTTTTCCTTTTCTGACGCTTTCGGTCTTTGTCACGCATTTCTTTTACCTAATCATAAGAATTACAATGAAAACATGTTTAAAACTTTCTTGACTGTTTTCCAAGAACAACACTTTTGAAAATACAAATTTACATTACCTTTAGCATGTAATTTCGTTGCTCAAGGGACTGATGGGTTTTGGGAGATCTTCTCTCTAAAATGGCAGTCAAAGCTCGTTGTCTCTCTTCATTCTTTCTTGTCCGATCATTGTAAGATTCCTGAAAGTATAAAAATATTTATTATAAGAAAATTGTAATGCATTAATAATACTTTAAAATGAGAAATCCAATCAGTGCCTACTTTGCACTCCTGTGGAGTCTTGTTGTGATATAAAGGGCAAGCTTCAATAATGTAATGTTTTTCATAATTTCCACTCAGATGGCCTTTAGAATCACATCCTTCATACGGACACTTCCTTTCTTCCTCTGGAATTATCTTTGCACCTGTTTCAGAATGGGGAGCTCCCATACCTTTTCCCTTAGCTTTGCGAGGAGGTGCTTTGGAATTCATAGTTTTTTTCACAGGATTTTTGGAGATAATTGATTTGCTGTCTGTAAGGTGGGAAGAAAGGAGATAATAAGAATCAAATAAAGTACATAATAAAACAAATAAAGACAGAATTGTTTTGGTTAGTAGTGAAAAATGTATTTTACAAATCTCTTACCTGCATCAGAGTCAGAGTCACTGCCAAGAGTCGACTTGCCTATTAAGTGTTTGCTTCGCCGAGCATTGTTAGTAGCTGACCGTGTAACTTTTCTTACAAGTGGGGTTTCGGTCTTTGATTTCTCAGGAGAAGATTTTACCTGTGACCCATCAGCTTCACTTTCTGAGCCAGCCCTGGTAGAATCCCCACCGCCTGTTGGGAGGCCTGAGTTTGAATTAGAGTTGGAATTGGAGGATGAATTTGGAGGAGTTGCTTGCTTGGCATTTTTTGCATTTTTGCCCTGATTGCGAACAGGTGTTACTGGTGACTTCTTGGGAGGCCGTCCTGGTCCTTTCTTGACAGGTGTTGTAGCTGTTGGCTTAGTAGGAGCAGATGTTGATTCAGCACTTGAATCACTGTCAGAACTGCTTGATGATCCAGTTGAAGAACCTGATTCAGATGAGGCCGAAGAAGCAGCTGACTTATCAGATACAGCCCCTGATTCTTTCTTTTGCTTAGCCTTCTGATTCAAGGCTGATGCCACTTTGTTTGCCATACTTTTAGGCGGAATAGTTTTGGATGGAGTGGACGGTCCTTCACTTTCACTGCTGTTCTCTGGACTAAATATACTTTTTGTCTTATTTTTCTTATCTGCTTGCTTGGAGGCATTTGTTTTGGATGAAGAATTGGTATCCTTTGAAGGGGCATTCTTCTGAGTGGAATTCGATTTCCCAGCATTTGTTTTGGCCTGAGAAGGCTTTGAAGGTGCTTTTGCCTGTCTCTGCTGTGGAGTGACCGTTGCGGAGGCTTTGGGCTTGGCTGGGGCTTTACGTTTAGAAGTAGGTTTAGGTGGGACATCATCATCTTCTGATGAGTAGACCTGACTTGCCTTCTGAGCCCCTGCTCTTGTTTTGGCAGCCTTCTTTGCAGCTTCCAAAGCACTTTCAGATCCTGTACCAGATGCTTCTGGTTTAGAATTAGTTTTGGATGAAGCATTTCCAGAAGAGGCATTGGATTGACCGCTAGGAGCATTTTGACCGACTTTCTTCTTGGCAGACGATTTCCGGCTGTCTGAATCAGTTGAGCGGCCACCACTTTTAGCAGCACTGGCCTGAGAGGCTGAAGAGTTTTCTGAGTCTGATGAACTGGAGTCGCTTCCAGAAGAAGAAGAGGAATTGGATGAACTCGAAGAACTGCTGCTTCCAGATGTCGATTCAGAGCTCGTTGTTGGCTAATTACAGACAAAAATAGCAAGATTAGTGAGTGCTGCAAGGATAAATGGTATCCAATTCAAATCAAATTTCGAAAAAGGAGCAATAAAATAGATTCATTTCGATAAAAATTGTAGAAAAAGATGGGAATAACACAATGTAGTTATTTGTATATACGGACGGCTATAACCTCTAGGTTTCTAAAAACAAACAAGGACGCCCAGACAATCATCTATGAAGGTTTCAGAGAGCTTACCTTCTTTCTTGGCGTCATGGTGAACGTGGTGCAATGCGCTTTGGTGGTCGTTTAAAAGGTTAAAAGTAAAATATTACGTTAAAATAGAGTGCATCCCCCTTTTCGCACCATTTTGTATGTCAAGAAAGACGTCTGGATTTGAAGGTGGTGGGGATATTTGTATGTCAATACGGCGCCATTTTGAAAAGCACCGCCCTCACCGCCCTCTAGATTAGACTGTGTTCCAGCAGACGCCAAGCTGAAGCTGCCAGCTCGGTCAGACCGGCCATCTGTCAACTTTGTTGGTGTTGCTTTAACCTGTTTTCAGAAGTCACTCTTTTCACCTTTCAAAATTTAATCGTTCCTCCAAAACGTTGAAAAGTTTAATAACTGAGAAAAGTCTTTAACCTATCTCTGGGCTATCTTTGAAAACAATGGTGATATACAGTGTTTATATTGTATCGAAGTCAGGTGGTCTCATTTTCAACTATGATCACAATATCCCAAAAATTGAGACAGAGAAGACGTACAGCTTTCCTTTGGAGCATAAGTTAGTCTACCAGAACAAGCAAGTCGTTGTGGCTTTCGGGCAGAGAAACGGAGTCAATGGTCAGTTCACTTTTAAAACTCAATTCTATCAACTTTGATTGCCGATACTTCAAATCAAATCGTTTCTACTTATGTTCCTTTTTCCATTGACAGTTGGCCATTTACTTCTGGCAGTAAATGGTTTTCCAGTGAACGGGCGTACCATCGAGGAGGACAAAAATCCACGTGACGTGTTTGAGGTTCTAGAAAATCCTGAAAATTATCCTATTAATCTCAAGTAAGCTCATTCATTCTATTTTGACTACATTGATGAATTCTGTTAAGAAACCTTGCTGAATTTTTAAATATGTCCTCTCCCTCATTACCCTTCTTAAATTGTTTGTTTGTTTTGTTTCAGATTTGGAAGATCAAAGATGTCCACGAATGAGAAGATTTTCTTGGCGAGCATGTTCTATCCGCTCTTTGCAATAGCAAGTCAGCTGAGTCCACAACCTCGTACTTCTGGTATTCAAATTTTGGAAGCAGATACATTTCATCTCCATTGTTTTCAGACGTTAACAGGCAAGTTGGTTTCTTAAAACAGGGCAGTATATACTTAAAATTCAAAAGACTTCAATTGTATTTCTTAATATGATGTGTCATTAATTATTTGAACATTTGTGTTTTGTCTTACAGGTGTCAAGTTTATGCTTATTGTGGAACCATCTCAGACAGGAGCAGACTTACTACTGCATCGAATTTATGAATTGTATGCTGATTATGCTCTGAAAAATCCCTTCTATTCCCTGGAAATGCCAATCCGTTGTGACCTCTTTGAAAGTAATCTTCAAAATTTACTAGATCAATCTGAAAAAGCTGGAATCAGCAGTGTGTAATCCATTTTTATGGCAAAGTAATTCTAAGTGTTATATGTTGGGTTGTTAAAATTATAAATACAGTGTATATAATTATAAGTATGTTTTTAAATATATCTTTTCTAAAAGTTGCATTTATATTTATCATCCCATCCAAGTATTATTTTTCCGACGTGAGCACCGTTGAACTTTAAGATCTAAAATGTCGAACCAGCTGATGGCTGATACTAGATATAGAATCACTCGAAAACTGCCGCCGAACTGTTAAGGAAAAGGGGCAGTCGTACCAACAGCCAAACAACTTTTTTCTCGAAGGCGGAGATGTGGTGGGTGAAACAAAAGAAGGCGTGTTGTGTTGTTGTTTGGCTGTAGCTGCTGTCGAGGATTTCTTTTAATTTGCTGAGTTTTTCTTCAAGTCGCTGCTAAAACTGATCAGAAATCGCCTTTTCTGTTTCTGAGTCATAATATCACACCGGCTGTATCATGGCGATGCTCCAGCAGCGACGACAAAATGTTAGTCTCAAAGAATTTAACGTATGCTAATGCGCTAGGGTTCGAACACATTTCGTTGTGTCATTTGTTTCCCGTCAAGTTCACCCAAAATAATCATTTGTATGTAAAGTTAAGGTTTTATTAAGTCATGTATGTATCTTGTCTTGATTGAACTAACTTAACTTGCTGCAAATGTAACTCTTCCTCATGCTAATGCTACCTAACCTCTTCATGTTATACATGTTTTAAATGTTGTTTTCCTACCTTCCCGCGACTCATGTAACCCTCTGAAAACTTTCAAAAGCTCTTGTGCTGTTCCATTTTTTTATCTGCATCTTCTATGGGTCAGTAAATTTATCTTTCCTTGTTTCAGGTACGACTTCCGCCAGAAGTGAACAGAGTCCTATACATTCGTAATCTTCCATACAAAATTACTGGCGATGAAATGTATGATATATTTGGAAAGTATGGTGCGATTCGTCAAATAAGAGTGTAAGTATTTTATGGTTTCAGTTATTTATTTCCTGTCAAATGTAGGTCAAACTTACAGTCTCTTGGTTTATCTTTCAGAGGAAACACTCCGGAAACCAAAGGAACAGCTTTTGTAGTTTACGAAGACATTTTTGATGCAAAAAATGCCTGTGACCATCTGTCCGGATTCAACGTTTGCAATCGTTATTTAGTTGTTTTATACTACCAGGTATGTCTTCAATTTTGGTCCATCAGAAGGGCTTTGATTGTTATCATTTTACTGTATCACATAATTTTGTTCTTATTCTAATTTTTAGGCTACCAAGGCATTCAAGAGGGTAGATGTTGATAAGAAGAGAGAAGAGCTCGACAAGGTTAAAACAAAGTTTGGCCTTCATGATGAAGTGAAGAAGTGATATGACTTAATTTTGACATACTGTCCTATTTTCCAAAATATTTTTTACAATGTATCTGTGTTTTTTTCATGAATAGAGTTTTTGATTCCCTTGCATGAAGCTAAGATGCTTACGTGGTGAATTCGGGTCTTGACCATCATCTATTCTTTGTTTGAGTCTTCAATTATTCTTTTGTTGTTGTATGCAATCCTCAAAGTGTACAAGTAGCATGAAATTTTGATTTTACTTTCTAAAACTCTTATATTGTTTATTTTTCCTCAAACTCACTGGTTTTTTTTTTGTTTCTTTTTTGGCTTGTAGTATTGAAAGCTGCACAGCTAAGTTATCATGCTGAGTGTTGTGTACTATTCTCCATATTATCATTAAATCATGATGTCCTCATATTTATGCTGTAGCTTTATTTCCTGGTCATAAAACAATATGCTCAGATCAACCATGTTAAAAATGGTACTGTAATCCCTTTTTTTAGCTTCATCTGCCTTCTCTGGACGTTTTTTTTTTTCTGTTAACTGTCAGTAAAACTCTAATTTAGACTTGGTAAATATCAAAAATTAAATTAAAATTTAGGTTGTAAAAGAAAACCATTCAGCAATTGAAGGAGGCGGGAAAATATTTCAGTTGTAATGAATCACCTTGAAACAAGAGGTTCAAACAAAATTTATATGGTAAAGGATTTGAAAAATTTGAGTGAAATGAAAAACTTTGAAATTTAAGGTCCGGTCATGGCGCATTGAGAAAGATTGCCTGGCATAGCGCCTGCCCCGGCCGGTCCGAGTACGCCCATGGTACGCCCAAGCTGCCCAAGCGACAGCCGCGGCCCTCCGGCCCTACACTGAAAGGGGGCGTGCCGGCTGGTGTCGACGCTGCTTGCCCTGCTTGTACACGGTGTACACACCACGGCGTACACGCACCGTGGTCGATACGAAGGGACGCCCCCGGGCCCGCCGCCCCGCCGCGCCTTGGGTCCGCTCAGGGGAGGGGGTAGCCGCGGGGGTGGCGCCCCACCGCCCGGCCCGCCCGGCAGGCGCGCCTCGCCACGCCACCCCGCAGCCCCTCTTACGCCCCATGCCGTCCGCCCTGGTCCGCCCGTCCGCGTAGTCTCTGGTAGAGCCGCGACGCAGGCTTTCTGCTGCTTTCTGCCCGGCCGTGGAGACCGAGTCCGTGGAGGGGGTGGACTAGTCGCGCTTCGGGCCGGCACGTCCTGGCCGCGTCGCTCTACGTCGTGCCGCCGCCCCGGCCGTGTCTGCGCGCCCCGTGCGCCCTGTGCCGTGCCAGGCTCGCCAGGCTTGCGTTCAAGGTTGTCCGCGAACACTTTCGCTTTCCGACTCCGCTCTCGCCGCCGACCTCATACCTACCCACTCGGCATGGTGCTCGACATGGGCCGGGACCTCGACGAGAGGCCCCGCTGGCGATAGAGGTAGGCCAATTGTTTCGACCTTGCCTGACCCGAAAAAAAGGCTCGAAAGTCAGTGGCTGTCCTGTGCGGCCGTGCCGCGATCGTCCGCCGCAGAGAGGAACCAGTCCGGTCCGGGGGAGAGGCACAGGCACAGCCGGCCCGCCGAAAGGCAAGGCGGCGCCGCGGTGCGAGGGAAGTTCTCGACGTGGACGTGCAAGTCTTCGCCTGACTCGTTCATTCTCGCCGCAGACGGCCGACGGCCGGCCTGAGGCGAGGCGCGTAGGCCTTTTGACATTTCCCCCAAAGCCCGATGGGCCGGGCGATGATAGGTGCCGCGGCCTGGGCGCCTCGGCCTCTATTTACAAGGGAAGGGTTCCCATTGGCGCCGTGTGGTGGCGCCACCGGCACCGCGCTGCCAGAGCCAGGCAGGGCTGCCAACGCGGCCGACTCTCCCCTGGCGCGCGCCGCTCGTTCGCCAAATCTCGCTCGTCAGCACGAGTGTGAGTTTTCTTTCAGTCCTGCCGCAGTGACTCCTACTGCTGTCAAGTTGGCAGCTTGTAAATCGATCCAACACGCGACAAAAGCGCGGAGGACTAACGGCGCGAACTTTGAAACGCAGCGCTGTTCTGTGAAGGCCCTGCTGTAGCCCCTTCTAACACGCCGCCCGCGAGCGAGGCGCGTGGCATCTGGAACGGAGATGTGTTGGCAAGATGGCCTGAAAGGCACGGGTTTCTAAGCCCGCAGGGCCCGCAGCGTCCTGGCCGCCACCGTTCCCGAAGCACAACGTGCAGTTTGCAGCAGCCGCAACAGCTGAGGGTCCAGAGACACGCAAAGTGACGCGCAAAATAACGCGAGGGAAGTCCCACAGGGATTGCAACAAAACGAAACGGCCGTTTCTGCACTGCCGTGTGCCTATGGACCCGCCGTACCGCGGCTACGGCGGCGACGGCCACGCCTGGCTAGGCCAGGGCTTGGGCCAGGGGGCTGGAGGGGCACAGACATGGGCACAGAGGCGCGAGGGGGGCGGCGAGGCCCCGAGACCAGCAGGCCGGCCGGCCGGCTCCACATGGCCGCCCCGCCACCGCTGGGGCCCATGCCGCTGGGGCCCATGCCGCTGGGGCCCATGCTCCGTGCCCCCTCCTTGGTGCCCTGCCAGCCTGCCCAGCCTGCCCGGCCCAGCCAGCCGGCTCAATCGAAACACTTGAATTGTTGATCAGTTTTGTGCCGCCGCCCGCCGCCTGTGGCCGCCCTGTCCCGGCGGAGCGCCTGTCTCTCCTTCGTGGCCCCGCCAGCCGCACCAGCCCCGCCGCCAGCCCCGCCCCGACGCTGGGACTCGACTCGGCCAAGCTTGAGGCTCACACTCGCATTGCCTTAGCGGCGAGGCAAAGGCGCGGCGCAAGGCCCAGGCTCGGCGTTGTGCTTAGGCTCCGCGCGCCATCGCCGCCACTTCGTGGCCACTCCGCCATCGCTTGCGGCGCGGCTCGGCTCGGCACGGCCCCGACCCCTACCCGGCTTTGCCCCGGCCCCGCCTGGCCTGGCCCTTCCCGGGCCCCGACTGTACACTGTACTCGCAGAAGACCCTCGCCGGCACCGCCGTCGCCGCGCCCATCCTGTACGAGCGACGCGCCGCATCGCGACGCACCGCCGCGACGCACTCCACCGCGACGCACTCCGCCGCGAGCCCGACGCCGCCGGCGCCGCGCGTGCAGCCTGCATGGCCGCGTCCTCACCGCCGTCCTCGCCGCCGTCCTCGCCGCCGTCCTCGCCGCCCTGACGGCCAGTGACACCGCCCGCGGGACTGTGCGCGCGTTTGTGTGTGTGAGTGCGCGTGTGTGTGTTCGTGACACAAGAGGACAAGACTGCTGCTCCTGGATTTAATTATCGCTGCGATGATGCGTCAGTGACATTACGCGGTTACCCGGTTGCACGTCGTCCTTACAAAGGTACGTAGTGAGTGCACGGCCAGTGCTGCGCGCCGAGCCTCCACCAGTTTTACTTTCGTTGGCCGCCTCGGCCGTCTCGGCCGGCACGGAGCGGCCGCGGCGTCGCGGTGCAGCCACGCATTGAATGCAGTGCAGGCGGGGCGGGGCGGGGCGAGGCGTTCCGATTCCAGCTCCAGCCGCCTGCACTGCTTACTGGGGGAAAGTGGTTTGATGGTACCTCGGCCGGGCACCTGGAGTACCTCCTGGAGTACCTCTCGGAGTACCTCGCGCACCTTCTTTTCCTCCCAGCACGTCCAGCGCTCGTCCGGGCAGCCGGGGCACGTCCGGGGCACGTCCGCAGCACGTCCACCAGCAACGTGCAGGCATGTGCAGCCGGAGAAAAAAAATTAGAAGCGACAGGCCGGAGCGGCCGGAGATACCCTCCGATGCACTCTGCAAAGCAGCACAGATGGAGGTTCGGTGCGAGGCCGGCGAGGACAAGGAAGAGCCTCCTGCCGGCGTGCCGCGCGAGCATCCCCTCGGCGGGGGCGTCTGGTGAGACGAAGAGCACGCGGACGGCCGCCGCGTGTCTTGCGTCATTCGACGACAGGTGGCCCGGTGCGGCCCGGTGCGGCCCCGGCCTTCAGCCCTTATCTGCTCAGGTTTAGATAGGTCAGTGATAGGTCCCTGGTGAAGCCAGCGCCGATCAAGGTGCGCACACCCGCGGCCGCCGGGGCACCGCCCTCCCGAGGGGGCGTCGCCGTCGCCATGTCGCCGTCGCCATGTCGGCATCGCGTCGACGGCACCCTCGGCGCGGAAAAAGCGAAAAAGCGTCCGTCTGCCTCGTCACCGGACTGAAAGTGTGGCGGCGGGGTGGCCGGGCCGGGGCGCGGCCTAGACGGTCACACCTCAGCGGACACTTTACCTCGCGCCAGTCTTACTCTGAGCCGCGCTGTCTCTCTCGCGCCGCGCCCTTCGTTGGTGCCTCACGTGCGCGAGAGAGACAGTGCGACGAAAGCCGCGTTTCTGAATCGGCCGGGCAGCCGGTGGCGCGGCGCTGGGCTGGACGCGCTGGGGGCGAGCGCCCGGCAGGGTAGGCCGGCCTGTCCGACGCGGCTGTCGCGGCGTTGCCTACCTCCCAGGCGCTTCTCCCGCCCCGTTCGCGCGAGCGGTCGCGCCTCTGTGTGTGCGCGTGCGTGTGAGTGAGTGTTGATGCGGGTGCCGGCACGCACCGCTGCGCTCGCACGCACGCGCACGCCAACGCATAAAACGCACGCGCCGGCAGCCCGGCACGTGTCGGCGGGGGATGCGCGCCTGCCAGCATTTCCGTTTGCGCGCGATGGCCGACAGGCACCGCCACTGCCAGAGGGTCTTGGCGGGCTGAATCTATTTCCCTTGCCGAAAAGAAACACACGTCCGATTTTGAAAAATTGACACCCGGAGTCGGAGTGACCTGGGCCGGGGCAGGCCGGGGCCGTTGCTATGCGTGGTCGCGAGGCAGGCGCGGCGGGGCAGGTGGCACCGGCACGGCCGGCACCCAGCCCGCGGACGGGACGGGGCCGGCTGGCGGGGCCGGCTGGTGGGGCCGGCTGGCTAGGCACCGGCAAGGTGTACAGTGAAAGTGCTCGAGGACGGAAAGAGGAGGAGGAGGAGAGGGGCCGGGGGGTTCTGCCGTCGTAGACCCCCGGCAGACGGCGCGCGAGGCGGCGCGAGGCGACCGGCGACTTCCCTCCGCGCCCACGCCGCGCACTGCCAGGCACACTGCCGCGGCCCCGTCCTGCCCGGAGCAGTCCGGCCGTCCGGTAGTCCTGGAGCACTGTGGTGGCGAATCCAGGGCGGCGTCCTCGGGGCCTGCGGGTCCTGCGCGTCCTCGAATCGTCCTTGTTTCCAGAACGAAAGTGGCCCGCCGCCGTGGGCCCTGCGCGCCGGCCGGCGGCCTCCTCCCCCTTCCCCGGGCCGCACAATGGCGAGCAGGCCGGCCTGATTGACAGTCTTCGTGGCGACGAGGGGCGGAAGGAAGGAGGAAGGCGTACAGGCCAAGCAGGCCGCCAAGCAGGCCGTCAGGCCGGGCGGGCGAAGCGAGGCTCGGAGGCCGGTGCCGCCGTCCGGGCCGTCCGCGATGCGGGTCTGTGGACGGGCCGTGGACGGGCCGTGGTCCACCGGGCGATCGCAGGCGTGGCGCTGGACAAGGCCGAAACGCCAACCCCTCCCCCTCCCACGCCCGGCTCCGCTTGCTTCGCCTGCTTCGCCTCACTTTTCCCGTTTGTCCGCTGCTAACTCGTTTCCGCTAACCTTTATCCTGCGGGAAGGGCACGCGGGACGCGGCGCGGCTCGGACGTCGCCCGGGGAAAGGGGGCGGCGGAGGGGGAGGGGACCTATCGCGACTTTTCTGGTGGAGCGCGGGGCTCCTTTGAATGGGACAAGTGCCCCGAAGTCGCGAACGTGGCCGCGCTTACATTGGCGCGGACAAGAGGCTGCGAGGCCCCGCGTGGTTCGGCCGCTCGTCACCACGTGACCGCGTGTTCCGGCGCGGTGTGCGTGTGCGTGACGTCACGGCGCGTCGCGTGACTGTACTGGCGGGCCGCGTGCGCCGCGGCACTGTACTGTCGCCAAAGCACGCCAAAGCAGGCCAGCCAAAGCACGGCGAGGCGGAGCACCCATCGGTGCAGAGGCGACTTTGCTTTCCACGCCACCATGCAGGCGAAACAACGGCTGGTGGCACTGCACTGGTAGAGGAACTCACCCGTGCCGAAGAACGATTCCGAAGAGGCGCTTCGCCGGCCCGTCCCTGTCGCACCTCTTTGGGGTCTGCAGACTCTGCAAGTGCACAATGAGTGCGACAGAGACGGGGCGACGGGTCGATCCTCTCCCCGGAACGAGTGCTGCCGCCCGCCCGGCCGACGGATGCGGTCGCTGCAGACACCTGCAGCTGCACCTCCATCGCCCTCATCGCCTTCATCGCCTTCATCGGCGTGATCCACGTTTATCCGCGGTTAAGCAGGCGGCTAGGAAAACAGGGCGTCCGGCGAAAGCCGCCAGTGAAAGTGAATAATTCCCTGTGTGTGTGTGTGTGTGTGTGTGTGTGTGTGTGTGCGCGCGCGTGTGTGCGTGTGTGCGTGTGTGTGCGCGTGTGTGTGGTATGCGAAATAGGAACAGTTATTCCGCTTGCAGCGCGTAAGCAGGCCCTCGTAATTGGGGTCACGGCGAGTGCAGCGAGAGCGACGGGCGAGACACACGAAAAAAAAAAAAAAAATTTGTGGTCATCAATAACTTTTTGGTGATCGTTGGGCTCAATTCGATAACTGCAATCGAAAATCCCGTATACACACTAACCAAAAGCTGGGCTACGTACACACGGTGACCGGTCGTTTAGCAACCTGATTTTGGTAGGTGTATCGGATTTTCGACAGCAGGTATCGAACCAAGTTGAGCATCAAAGTCTGCTTTTTTTTCGCGCAGTTAGACTGCGCAGTTAGGCTGCGGGTGGCCGTCGCCACGCACTTCGCGGCTCCGCGGCGGGGCGACGCGACGCGAAGTGCAGTCGGTTCGGCCAGCCACTTGCCAGCCTGGCCAACTTGGCCAACTTGGCAGCGCGGGCTGGCAGGGAGGGACTAGCAGGGACTAGCAGGGACCAGTATGTGGGGCAGGTCACGGTTAACTTGGGTCCGGGCCGGGCCGCGCCGCATGCTACTTGCCGCGGCTTGCGCAACGCTTTCCCGCTCGGCGCGCTGCAGGCCGCGCTGCACTGACGGACTGATCCAGCCCGCTGCACTACGCTGCACTACGCTGCACCAGGTGTGCAGTGCAGTGCATTCCACATGGCTCCAGGATGACGCCACCGCCGGCCGCCGCCCCGGCCGCCACGCGTTGCAAAAGGGGCGGGAGCCAGCTGGAGGCTGGGACGAATGGGACAGGACAGCGAGCGGCACGCTGTTCCAAGGCGTGAACCAGGGTGTCTCTCATGGCTGTCTGTCCCATGACATGGAGTGTCCCATGGTAGCGATGCCCCGCGGAGCCCCATGAGGCCACATGGTGCGCCCCATGGTGCCCCATGGGAGGCTCCCGTGGCGTGGTCCTCCTCCTGCCGGCTGCCACAACCTGTCATGGCAAGGTCAACTACTCCGGCCGTCTTCCCGACAACAACACTGCTAAGCAGCGTCTGCCTTACATGTATGTATTAGAAGGCGGCGCGACGTTGCCAAAGGAAACGCCAGTCGGAAAAATTTGGCGCTCGTCCTGCTGCCCTGCTGGGCGTCCAGGAAATAGGTGGACAGGACAGGTGGCGTCCTCGCCGAATAAACAATTTCTGTTCGGCTCTAGCCCAAAAGCGCGCTTCGGTGGTCGTTCGGAGAGGTTTTGGAGTTTTCGGCAGCCCAACAGGATGGGCCCCCGACTGGCATTTCCGTCGCCCCGTCTGCGCCCCGTTGCGCTATCGTCGCTCCGTCTCTCTCGCACTCGTGGGGCGGCGTCCGGGCCCGTCCGGGTGCGAGAGAGACAGCGGCGAGAGCACCGCTCAGACTACTGCGCCTTGTTTTTAGCCGGGATAATGGATGCGGTACAAACACGAGCACGGGGTCCTGTGGGTCCTGGGTCCTGGGTCCCGTGGGGCTCGGGGGCGCCCAGGAATGCAGGCGGGCCAAAGGAGCCGAGGCAGCCCGGCCGAGGGGACTCACAAGGGACTGCGTCGGGCTGCGTCGGACTGCGTCGGACTGCGTGCATCTCCAAAAATTTCCGGCGGGAGGCGTATTTTTCTTTCCTATCGGCTTCTCGGCTGAGCGGGCTCGGACCCGGGCGGACCTGGCTGGCCTGGCCGGCGGGTTCCCTGAAGTCGAAGTCGCTCTCAACCCTATCCCATTGTGCTAGTGTGTGTGTGTGTGTGTGTGTGTGTGTGTGTGTGTGTGTGTGTGAGTGTGTGTGTGCGCGCGTGTGTGAGGATGCGTTTCAGGGAAGGATCGGCAAATCGGTCCGGAGGGGAGGGGGGAGGGGGGAGGGGGAGGCGGCCGACAGGCCCTGCCGCGAAA